GAATAAAAGTTTTGTTTTACGTGCTGCTAACAGGACCAACAGCCACATACCCTGTACATGCAGCAAAGTTTCAGGAGTGACTGAAAAAGAACGGATGAGATACAGGAAAGTCAGTAATGTAGGCTACTGTTTTAGGCATGATGCATTTATATATATATATATATATATATATATATATAGCGCTTTCATTGAAGAATCACGTGATTGCAAACAACCTATTGCTTGAGAGGTGCTTTCCCCCCTAATTTCAGAAGCATGGTTTGCAAATGTATTTACATTTGTGAATATAGTCAAAGATTTTTAAAAATGAAAATTTAAAAGAGACAAAAGAATAATTAGGGAGATTCAGTAAATTATGAATAATTTACTGCCATTGTGTAAATAATATGTAATTATGTAATCCATAAAAAGTATTTATGATCTGATTTTTAAATGCATTTTAAAATGTATATACTCCAATTACAAGTACTTACGTAATCCAGATCACATGTAATCAGTTACTACCCAGCACTGTCAATAAGATGCGTTTAGAAAACAGATAACGTTTACTTTCTAAATGTGTCTTACTGTGAATTTCCACTTAATGCCAACTAATTTCTACTATAGTAATAGTGATACTTGCCTTAGCAAACACCCACAACAGAATTAAATTATTCATCTGTGCACATCCTGATAGAATTAACAACAGTGTCCAGAGCTTGTAACCATTTCAAAACCGTTTGAGAGGAAGCCCAGCTTTCCCTCTTTTTCTCTCCGTTGCTTCTCCCTCCCTTTTCCAACCCCTCCCTCCCTCCCATCTCTCTCCCTCCCATCTCTCCCTCCCTCCCATCTCTCCCTCCCATCTCTCTCTCTCTCTCTAGAGCCAGTACAGCAACTCGATGACGCAGCAGCAACAGAGGCCTGTGGAACGATTGCTGGGCTGAGAGAATAACAGAGAGGCGCTGCTTTGGCCCAGCCTTGACACTCAAACACACACACTCACACACACACAACGGCACAAAGGAAGTAGAGAGCAGCTGATCTGGCCCTGAAGGAGAAACTGTGCTGCAGAGGCTCTGTCCTTCGCTCTCCTCTCAACCATGGCAGAACAAACTGATCTCACCCTGGGCCAGACTGTTTACATCTACTGCTGCTCAAATATGGAAGAGGAGGAATAGATCAGGTATATATCAGCCCCGCTCACTCGAAACTCTCTTTTTCGTTGTCTTACTCACTCTACTAACACACAAAGAGATTGTGAGCTGTTGTCCATTAATGCTGACTAAAAAGAGGCGTTAAAAGTGTTGTGCTGTGGGACTGGTGAGACGATCGAGTGGCCATGAGCGAAATGAGTGTGTTTGTGTGTGTAAGCTTGTTTTGAGTATATACTGTGGGAATCCATCCAGACGGACGTTCTGGAGACAGTCGTTTGAGTGCGTTTCTGTTGATTACGTTCCAATAAAGGTGGGCCTTGCTGACATAATAACCTTGTAAACAGCAGAAAGCTATAACAGCATAATATAGCATGAAGCTGCACTATAACCTGTTTTTTTTTATATATAACTATTGGACTTTTCAGTAGTTAAAACATGAAATATTGTAAAATAGTCACACACAAAAAAAACATGCATACTACAAATTACAGGACTGGATCACGTACTGAGTTCTTCTGCATGATGACCACCAGAGGGCACATCAATGTAGTTCCTGACGCATCTGTTTTTTTTTATATATAACTATTGGACTTTTCAGTAGTTAAAACATGAAATATTGTAAAACAGTCACACACACAAAAAAAACATGCATACTACAAATTACAGGACTGGATCACGTACTGAGTTCTTCTGCATGATGACCACCAGAGGGCACATCAATGTAGTTCCTGACGCACATTTATTAATCGCACCAACAGGGACCAGAGGAAAGACGATCTCGATTATGAGGAGCGGTATGAACAAACGTCAGGTTGGTAAAGGGATTTTGATCTTGCTGTGATATTTAAAGAGTTTTCTAGTCACTTGATAGCAGGAAATGTAAAACTGTAGCCTGCCTTCTTGCTTTTGCTCCAGCAAGACAACAATATTATTGTGGTTATACGTATGTGATATTCATGTTTTTAATTGTTTGTCTTTCATGTTTTCACATTTGAGCTGAATAGCTCAGTGCTAGAATTTGGTTTCATGAGCGGCAACGTTTCCATCTATAATTCATTACGAAACACAGCGGCCCACATATTGACCTAGGCCTCATCTTGATCATCAGAGCGATTTATCATAGTACTCAGTTTGTTTTCTTTCACTTTTTTACGTTATACTTAAGGCTGTGTTGGCCTTGAGTGGAAGATTCATGCAATGAGCTCAATTGTACTGTGGTTTACTGTAGGCCTCTCTTTGACAGGCCTCAGAGGTGTCAGCATCTTTGATGCTTTCAGGGCCACGGCCCACACATATTGTTGAGTGACAAAGAGCAAATGTACTTCAGCCATGCAGCACTTGCCCGCTAACGGTTCACTGCATACTCGATATGACTCAGTGATGACGGTGCTGTGGCTGGTATGGCGGAACTCCTTATACCTCGAGGTTATTTAGAAGCAGTGTGACGCATTGCAGAAAAATTCATAGCAAAAATTCATTCATTTTCAGGAGGAAATCACTTGCTACAACATAAAAATATTAAACTTTAGTTAATACTAGAAGGAAGTGCCCTAAATTAAAATAGAAATGTTATCCATAAACTTCTCAGCCTCTCATGTAAATAGTCCTAGAATATACTGGTAAAAAATGTGCTGTCCCTCCAGGGGAGAAATACTGCCAGCTTTGACAAGAAAACACCTATAACATTCTTTGTTTTGTAAGTTTATTTTAAATTGCGTATATTAAAATTTATTATACATACATTTTTTTAAATTATTGAAATATATGCTGTTATTTTACACAAAACGAGAAATCAGTACACAAAAACAAAGTAATATCACAATAATATAACAAGTGAATAGCAACAGCAGCATTTTATGGCTGTATTTATTATCATGGCATTAATAGTGAATAATATATGGTTTATTCACACACTCTTCGTAAAGTCGGTAAAAATATGGCCCAATGCACGGTGTTAATTTGAAGGAACTTATCGTTTTATAGTACTTTCAGTTAATATATTTATATAATTAGATAATATATAATATAGTTATATTACTTAAATGTAACTATATTCACATTTTAGTGTACATAAATATCCAGTATAACAAAAAAAAGATCTTTGGAATGTGGCTTAATGGATGATTTGGCTTTTTATTCCTTTGAGGACTAGGTATTGTCCCATCGGAACAAGTTATTAGCATTTTCTGCCCAATGAGCTATACGGGTCATTACCGTCACTGCTATTTTAACACGGAAATATAGATTCTGTATAGATAAGCTGATTCATTTTCGTGACTTGTCCAGGCCTGAACATCTTTTCTTTTAATTCCCAGTGTTCCTGGTTTCTAACAATTGTCTGAACGTTGATATGAAATTTTAGACATAACAGGGCAATTTATTCAAAAGATCAAATAATTTGATATTCCTAGATATGCATAAGGAAACCGAGAGGTTGTGGGCTGGATAGTTCAGTGATCAATCTGCTCTTTGGTTCTTATTTCACCATCACTGTTTCACTTATAAAACAAACTGGGAGCTGAACACAGGCCAGGCCACTAGTGAATGCAGCCTTTGTTACAGCAGCTTGTCTTCATGGCACGCAGGTAATCAGCACTCAGCCCTGTTTCCAGAAATAACCGTTGGTATCTGGGCATTAGGTTCACATGCTGCACCACGAGCTGAAGGAGGCGGCCTTTTGCAAGCTTTAAAGAGACACTTCGCCGACTTTAAACGCCGGCCTGGCACATTAACTCAGATGTAAACAAGTGCTTATTTGATGGAAAACGAAATAAATATAGTCTAAATATAGTGAAATACACCCTTCTTATTGAAGCTGTCCACTTTTAAAATCAAGGATTTGTGTTCTCATTTAAATGTGGAAATAGATTTAAGATTTTGAGAAAAATGAAAACAGAGAAAAGTTTTAATCTCTACCAATTCTAGGTCACTCATTTAAGTAAATCAAGTAAATCTGTGACTGATCATGTGACTCTTTGTACAGAAGGTCAAATTTGATTGCTTCCATTGAAGCACAAAAGGTTTTTTGGCTGTTGTCAAATCATGCTGGAGAACATGATCATCAGATTTTGTTCAGCTCAAGTGTTGCTGTCATTACAGCAAAAGACATTACAAACTTTTTTCATCATTTGTAATGTTCATTTAATTTACTCATATTTGTTATGCTGATAATGTAAATTATAATGAAAATGTTGCATTAAATTACAAAATGCAAAGAAGATTTTTCACCAGTGGTCTTAGATCTCTTTTTTTTACAAGGAATTTATTCCTATAAAATGTTGGATTTTTCAGGATTTTCATGCGATTCATTAAAGTTGAAGTATGTATAGTCTTTAAGTGAAATAATGAAAGTGAAAAGTGAACGTGACATGACATGTGGTCAAGCATGGTGACCCATACTTGGAATTAGTGCTCTGCATTTGAACCCATCCAAAGTGCACACACACACAGCAGTGAACACACAGCAGTGGGCAGCCATTTATGCTGCGGCGCCCGGGGAGAAGTTGGGGGTTTGGTGCCTTGCTCAAGGGCACCTCAGTTGTGGTATCGAAGGTGGGAGAGAGCGCCGTACATTCGCCACGACTTCCCCCTAAGGAATAATCTTGAAACACTGGTATCATGAAGTGATAAGCTCAATGTAGACTACATTTTTTTTTTTTAGGCTACTGATATAACTGCAGTCGTCACCTCAAGTGAATCATATATTTTAATACAATTCATGTTATGAGTAAAATATTTAATGAGGAAAAAAATATTAATATGATTAATTTTAGTAATATTAATAATATTACATTTATTAATATTAGTCTGATTAAAATATGCTGGGAAAACAGACAGAATCTTTAGAAAAAAATCAATACTGTGAAGAAAAAAAAATACTCACAGGTAAAGTATTCACAGGATTTGTGTGCACTGTGCAATATTGATTTGTAGTCTTCACCCTGAATAAAGAAAGACATACCCAGTTTGGGCCATGAAATATAATGACCTGCAGATGGAATGTGAAGTAGCGCCTCCCTATCCACTTTCTCCCATTCCCTCCCACCCGTCTCCTCCCTCTCTCGTGCTCTCTGCAGAACAGCCGCATCCCTTTGCATCAATCAGCAGCCATGTTAAAGGTGAACCTACAGTCCTCCACCACCTTTCCACTTCCTCCTGAGCTCTCGTTCTCTCTTCAGTGTTCTTGCGCTCTCACTCTCTGTCAGCATCTGTTTGTCAGTTTAATTTCTTATCCTCTTAACCTTTTGCTGTAACCTCTTTCTAGCTGTCCGCCGTGTTCTCTTCCACACGTCTTCCTGTCCTTGTCTCAAATCACCATTTCTGCTTGCTCATGTACTCTCATCCTCTCTTTCTCCTCGGCTGCACACACTTCTTCTGTTTGATATCAGTAATGGGCGATGGAGCAGCAGGCTGTGCAGTCTCTCTCTCTCTCTCTCGTTCTTTCTCTCATACCCACTCACCCGCCACTACAAAGATGCATGCATAAAGATACGGCTGCAGCAGTAACGGTGCAGCTTAGCCATAACCGCAAACATCAGTGTTCAGATGTGCATAAACACGTACTGGACCAGAGAAAAGCATGTTTCATTAGGTGAGCGAGGGGCAGATGGAGAACACGAGCATGTGAGCGCCTGTGCATTTAAATTCATAGCTGTTCATAATCTTTTTTTGGAGGAGTGAGGGTGGGCTCATCTGAAATAACACCACCCGGACCGCCATTATTTATTCTACGTGATGGAAAATGTTAAAAGCTGCCTCGCGCCAGGTGCCGTTTTTGTTTTGACACCAGTGGTTGCATTGCTGCATCCACCTCACGACATTCAAGCGCTTCTCTCGTGTTAGCACGCTGATCCATTTCCCCCGCACTCTCTCATTCCGGCTACCCTTTTGCAGTGGTTAATGAAGTTGCAGTGCTTGCTAGCACGGTGCATCTCTTTTCCGCTGCTAATAATGCACAGACAGCAGCGGAGCTGCCCTGCCCGACTATTTATAAACTCCACAGTGGACGAAAAAACCCTGGTGGCCAGCTAGCGAGCGTACAGGAGGAACTAGACCTATAGCGGGCTGCAGTGGAGCAGACTGATGCCCCCTGCCACCTCTGGACTGGGCATCTCACGCAGAGAGGGCACTGGGACTAGGGTGAACGAAAAAGAGAGAGAGTGTGTGTGTGAGAGAGAGTGAGCAAGCAGGATAGACTTATAGGAGAGACTGCGATCGCAGTAGAGAGCAGCAAGTGACGAGTTGAATCTAATAGAAAAAGCTGTAACACTTTCGCCTGCAAACAAAACATCTCTTTCCAGCCATCAGTGGATTGCAGGAACGAGGAAGGTGTGAGCGATGATTTCCGCTCTCCGTCCACTGAAGCGCTTTCTCTGATTAACTGAAATAAAGGTACGTTCAGCATGCTTTTCCCTCCAGTTTCAAACAGACACAGTCGAGCACATTTTTGCAGGGCAGCGCATCAAGACTCGTGGTTTTATCTGTAAAAATGAAAGTAAAAGTTCGTTCTTTATCTGACTGGACATTTCATACTCGTAGGCAAATGTTTCAATCATTTTGTACTGAATTTGCGTTTGAGGGAAGGCAAGGGATTTTTATTTTTCCGCCATTTCGCTCATCCGGTATGGTAAGTCATGTTGAGGGTGTGGCAGGTAGATAACCACACACAACAAATGCCATTTTACGCCTATATAAAACCCCTTACAGCATTAAATGTAAGCTTTGACAGCTGAAAATAACAAATAGCACATTAAATTTTGTGCTATTTTTTTTAATTTTATGTAACAGGGCCCTTCAACTTAAATTAGCATTGCCAAACAGCTCTGCGAGTCTATGGGATGTAATTTTGACTGCGTACTAGTGTACTAAACACACACACCACACACACACACACACCGATACAGATAATCCCTGGCGATTGTCCACAGCTTCTCCTAAATGCTATTGGGGCTTTCCAATATGGCGCTGTAAAAACGATCCGTTTTTCTCTGGACGGAATACACAACTGCCTGCTCAGTCGCCATTCATACAAATCCCAATAAGTGCTGCGCCACAGCATGTTGCCGTGACAACGGAGGCCTGTCAGATAGGGAGCAGGCGGATGTTTTCCCAGCGATTAAGAGAGGTCTGCCTCTCCCGTTTAGCCCAATCATACACAAACAGTACAAATTAAAATAGATCCTCGCCAGCATCATACGAATAAATCTGAGACGCTGTTACATCCAGACTGTTTCAGCTGCTCATTAAAGGTACAGGATGAACAATAATGCTGTGTCATGATGCTTTTGATGATCAGAAGCAGATTCTATGTAGAAGTATTCTTTGTGGTTTGGTTGTTTCCTTTCTCGTTTTGAGCAACACATTACGCACAGAACAGCCTGAGGAAATGTTCTTCTAAACTAGGCTAGTTTATCTGTTCAGAAACTGAGCACTGAGCACCAGGCTTTGCTTGGCAGTCATGTTAATATTAATATTTAATAATGTTCTCAGAATTTAGACTCTTGAAATCTATAATTGCAAGTCCAAACAAGATCAACCTGTACAGTCTAATAGAACATTTCAGGCGGCCATTTTACTTTATACCAAGATGCTTTTTGTTGTGGTTTCAAAATGGCTGCTCTATTGAAAGACAACAACCTCTCAACAGAGACACGCAAACCTTTACCTTATCAGCAGACTCGCATACATTACTGGAAAAAAAAAGTCTGCACATTGCAGAGCATTTATTCTAAATACGTACTTGAACATGGTCAATTTACTGCAAATGCTCCGCTGGAAACTGAACTACTAACAATGGCAAAGCGTATTTTTTATTTTATTTTTTTTATTTTTTTATTTTTTTACAAATGATTGTTATGTTCCCCTTGGACCTACAACTGCTGGATTAGATCTTCAAAATTCATACAGAAAATGCAAGGTTAACATGACTGACGTCTGAGCAAGAGTCTAAAAATCAGTTGTGCATATTTGCCAACTAAAAAGGTTGTTTTATGCCTAAAGGTTTCATTTTAGGAGGCAGTGGCTCCCACACAAGGGGCCCTGACAATGCCTATAAATCACATTGCAGTGACTCATTTGATAATGTGGACATTCCATTGCACAGAAAATGGGTCATTGTTCACAAAAAGAGCAAGTCAGAAGAGAAAGTAGTGCAAATGAGAGACAAAGGGCAAACAATCAATATGAAAAACTGCATTCGCTTTGAGAATTGTGCCTCCACATAGTATTTGTTATACTTTGGTGCATTAGCCATGAGTGCTGCTGCATCTGACATATTTCCACTTTGCAGTGACAGGTCAGTCTGCCTCCTGAGGTGCACACGAACTTGAAATAGATAGTGAGAAGCAGAAATGGGTCAGTTTGCTAGGATGGATTTTCAAGGAAGGTGCAGAATCTGACCTTTGTTCATTTCCTCATTGTGCTACTATGTACATTAGTCAGCTAAAGAGTCAAACGAGTGTCATGCACTTGGATGCTGACAGAAGATAAATTTCAAAGGACAATAAAAAAAACTCATATGCATATGCTATGTACAATGACACTATGTATGTGTCAATAAAAGACAGTATCTGTTATTATTCTGTTTTAATGCATCTTGTTTTTGCTTATCCATGTCCTTTATTTTGAAGTCATCTGGTTTCTTGTGAGTCTTTTGTCTCTGTCAAATGTTTCCCTCCCATGACCTAATTGTGTTCAGCTGTGTTTTTCTCCCTCATTAGTTCTTGTTTGTACTGTATGTAGCCCCTGTGTTTGTCTGGTCTGTTGTTGCCTTTGAATGCACCTGGTAAAAACTTACTTCAGAGTAAGGAAATCACAATTATGGCATGTCATGTATTTAAGTCTGCTGTTGTTAGAAATAGAAATAAAATATAGATATAGCCATAAATAAATAAAATAAAATAGAAATTGTTAGGTGTGACATTTAATATTTTTCATTTCAAATTTCATTTTAAAATTATAGAGCTTTATGTAGAAAACACATTTATTCCATATCTTTGCAAGTTATAATAAATAATAATAATAATAATAATTACTTTTACCAGGAAATAACTTGAAATTATGATATATCCATCTGCAGCTGAAGTCTGGATTTGTCTGGCATTATTTTTGTCTGGATTTGTCTGTAGTACAGGTTATTTTATTATTTTCTGTTAAGTCAAACATTGTTATGTATTGTTTTGGGATTTATGTTTTCTCTATACTTTGCTTAAAGTCACCATAAAATCAAAATGGAAAATTCTTATTTTTTAATGGAATACTGTAGTGTTTATTATAAATAATTTATCCGTGCACTTCATTATTTTAAAATTCATGTGCTTTAACCTGATGGAGGACGTCCTCTCTCTCTCTCTCGCGCGTGCACTGTTTAGGCATGTTTTGTGCTGTTGATCGTCGTCGTCATCCTTAATAAATAAAACATTTATTCATGCTTGGGTGTCGGC